CATGTTCACTATAACAACTTCACTATATCAACAGTTTCACTACAGCTACATGTTTACTATAAATCTTCACTATAAAAGGTTAATTCTATCAACAGGTTCATTATAGTGTTCACTATAACATGTTCATTATATCAACATGTTCACTATAACAGGCTCACTTTTCACTATAACTGCATGTTCACTATAATATCTTCACTATGACAGGTTCATTATAGCTTCATAATCACAATAATATGTTCACTATAACAGGTTCATTATACCAACATGTTCACTATAACAGGCTCATTTTCCACTATAACTGCATGTTCACTATAATATCTTCACTTTAGCAGGTTCATTATAGCTTCATAATCACAATAATATGTTCACTATAACAGGTTCATTATACCAACATGTTCCCTATAACAGGCTCACTTTCCACTATAACTGCATGTTCACTATAATATCTTCACTATAGCAGGTTCATTATAGCTTCATGATCACAATAATATGTTCACTATAACAGGTCATTATATCAACATGTTCACTATAACAGGCTCACTTTTCACTATAACTGCATGTTCACTATAATATCTTCACTATAGCAGGTTCATTATAGCTTCATGATCACAATAATATGTTCACTATAACAGGTCATTATATCAACATGTTCACTATAACAGGCTCACTTTTCACTATAACTGCATGTTCACTATAATATCTTCTTCACTATGACAGGTTCACTCTAGCTGGCATACATGTTCCTTATAAGAGTTTCACTACAACAGCCTCTTACTACATTATTTCTTACACCTCAAACTCTGAGTCTTGTGGTCTGGTCCTCCGCTGTTATTAGTATTCAAAAATTATGAGTTTCAAGACCAAAACAAGCGAAAAGTCGTCCCTTACCACCATGCTCTCCCGCATGAGGGCCCAGTGGTCGAAGAGACGGCAACTGAGACTGTCCAGGCTCCAACCGTCACAGTTAGGGCATTGTCGTTGGTCCTGGGGTCCACCGTGAAAAATAATCGACCAATACAAGGTGCAGGTGCGTGTTCTCACAGGCCGAAGATGATCATCCTGGTTGAAGGCAAAAACAAAACTCGTTAAGGAAATGCCCACATAAAGCTAAGCGATGATTGACGAGGAGAAGGAGCGAAGCCGGGTCACCACACCAGTAAGCTGAACGCTCTTCATCCCCAAGGCCCTACACGGAAGATCATCGGTCATCGTGGTCAAAACATTCGACCATTATTCCACCACTGAAAATAAATATCGTATTTCCCAATAAAAATAACAACTATGATGAAGTTATCATCACTGGTCTGCCTAATCAGGTGGACTAGGCATAAGTCACCTCTAAACTCTGGTGACCAGCTTCCTCTCCATGTATGGCCTTATGAATATAAGGCCAGACCAGACTTCTTCCATCCACAAATAAACCCCAAAGCACCCTCACCACTGGCCTAATGCGGCAGGTCTGGAAACTCAGGATTTATCTCTGGGCTAACAGTGGTTTATTATTATTATACATATATTATTATATTATTATTATTATTATTATAAATATTATTATATTATTATTATATATATATATATATATATATATATATATATATATATATATATATATATATATATATATATATATATATATATATATATATATAGGCCGAAGAAAATGCAAAAAATATGCAGTGTTTTAAGGAGAAAAGGTAGCATGAGAAGAAAGGATAAAAAATATAGAAACAGAAAAAAAGAAGAATAGAGAGAGAGAAGGAAAAAATATAGAAAGAGAAATGAAAATGAAAGGTGAAGATCAGTGACCCCCCCCCAAAAAAAAAAAAATCTCCACTTGATCAGGAGTATGGTAGTAGCCGATTATTTTTATGTTCAGGTTAATATTCTTTTTTTATAATATACAATATAAAAGATAAAGGATTCTGAGAGCATGGGTGATACACAGTGTTAAAGGGTCTTGGCGGTGTATAAATCTACGGTCATCACCACCCGTATTTCACTTCCCTCGCGTTACTCTCCTTATTGAAATGATCCCTCACTTTCTTCTTTACGATGACTTAACCTTTGAGTACGATAATTTAATCTTTAATCACGATGACTTAACGTTTGAGTACGATGACTTAACCTTTGGGTACGATGACTTAACCTATGAGTACGATGACTTAACCTATGAGTACGATAATTTAATACATGAGTACGATGACTTAACTTTTGAGGACGATGATTTAATCTTAAAACACGATGACTTAACGTTTGAGTACGCTGACTTAACCTATGACTACGATGACTTAGCCTTTGAGTACAATGACCTAACACCTAAAGTACAGTGTCCAGTGTCACCATACTTGGGGTATCGTAGTGAAAGGGTTGAGATATTGGACTCAATTAATAAAATGGTGGTATTCAAGAAACTAAGTAATTTGTTCTCAAGGAATTAAACTTTTACAGTCACCAAAATGTAAACATGATAAGGTTGGATATCTTTGGGAGACATATGGCTGTCCAAAACGAGTCTGATGGACGTTCTTCCTTTCAGATACTGTATAACATAATGTAAGAACAAACTCCAACGTTCATCGGTGTACACAAAGCTGGAACTCAAGTGTACCAGGAGTGTGTACTGTACTGGTGGTCTGTGTTAATGTTATGGTGGTTATGGTAATACTCGTGATAACATAAACACACCAGTCACGCCCTTGTAGGTGACTCAAGACATACAAGTTCACATATGTAATCATATAAAATATATTGATACCTAACCTAACCTACCTGATAGAAGTAGACACTGATGTTGTTTTCTGTTTTGTGAAATGTTTGGCCAAATATATTTCATAAAACGAAAACAACATCAGTGTCAACCTCTGACAGCCGCTCATCCAATAATAATTTTAAAAACTTTAAATACACAAATTAATAAAGAATTACTACAGAACAGACCGACTCTACAGAGACGTGGGAATATGCTACAGGCTTACTTTTCACTATAACTGCATGTTCACTATAATATCTTCACTATAACAGGTTCATTATAGCTTCATGATCACAATAATATGTTCGCTATAACAGGTTCATTTTTTCAACATGTTCGCTATAACAGGCTTACTTTTCCCTATAACTGCATGTTCACTATAATATCTTCACTATGACAGGTTCATTCTAGCTTCATGATCACAATAATATGTTCGCTATAACAGGTTCATTATATCAACATGTTCACTATAACAGGCTCACTTTTCACAATAACTGCATGTTCACTATAACAACTTCACTATATCAGCAGTTTCACTACAGATACATGTTTACTATAAATCTTTACTATAAAAGGTGAACTCTATCAACGGGTTCATTATAGTGATCACCATAACACGTTCATTATATCAACATGTTCACTATAACAGGCTCACTTTTCACTATAACTGCATGTTCACTATAATATCTTCACTATAGCAGGTTCATTATAGCTTCATGATCACAATAATATGTTCACTATAACAGGTTCATTATATCAACATGTTCACTATAATAAGCTCACATTTTACTAAACTGCATGTTCACTATAATATTTTCACTATAGCAGGTTCATTATAGCTTCATGATCACAATAATATGTTCACTATAACAGGTTCATTATATAAACATGTTCATTATAACAGGCTCACTTTTCACTATATCTGCATGTTCACTATAATATCTTCACTGTATCAGGTTCATTATAGCTTCATGATAACAGTAATATGTTCGCTATAACATGTTCATTATAACATGTTCACTATGACAGGCTCACTTTTCACTAAAGCTGCATGTTCACTATAACAACTTCACTATATCAGCAGTTTCACTACAGCTACATGTTTACTATAAATCTTCACTATAAAAGGTCAACTCTATCAACAGGTTCATTATAGTGGTCACCATAACATGTTCATTATATCATCATGTTCACTGTAATATCTTCACTATGACAGGTTCATTATAGCTTCATGATCACAATAATATGTTCACTATAACAGGTCATTATATCAACATGTTCACTATAACAGGCTCACTTTTCACTATAACTGCATGTTCACTATAATATCTTCACTATAGCAGGTTCATTATAGCTTCATGATCACAATAATATGTTCACTATAACAGGTTCATTATACCAACATGTTCCCTATAACAGGCTCACTTTTCACTATAACTGCATGTTCACTATAATATCTTCATCATGACAGGTTCATTATACTATGGAATCACAATAACATGTCACTATAACAGGTTCATTATACCAACATGTTCACTATAACAGGCTCACTCCTTCCAATTATAACTGCATGTTCACTATAATATCTTCACTTAGCAGGTTCAATATAGCCTACAATCACAATAATATGTTCACTATAACAGGTTCATTACAATCAACATGTTCCTATATAACAGGCTCAATTTCTTTCCACTATAACTGCATGTTCACTACATAATATCTTCACTATAGCAGGTTCATTATAGCTTCATGATCACAATATGTTCACTATAACAGGTCATTATATCAACATGTTCACTATAACAGGCCTACTTTCACTATAACTGCATGTTCACTATACAACTTCATTATATCAGCAGCTCTCACTACAGATACATGTTTACTATAAATCTTTATTATAAAAGTTAACTCTATCAACGGGTTCATTATAGTGATCACCATAACACGTTCATTATATCAACATGTTCACTATAACAGGCTCACTTTTCACTATAACTGCATGTTCACTATAATATCTTCACTATAGCAGGTTCATTATAGCTTCATGATCACAATAATATGTTCACTATAACAGGTTCATTATATCAACATGTTCAATATAATAGGCTCACATTTTACTATAACTGCATGTTCACTATAATATTTTCACTATAGCAGGTTCATTATAGCTTCATGATCACAATAATATGTTCACTATAACAGGTTCATTATATAAACATGTTCATTATAACAGGCTCACTTTTCACTATAACTGCATGTTCACTATAATATCTTCACTATAGCAGGTTCATTATAGCTTCATGATAACAGAAATATGTTCGCTATAACATGTTCATTATAACATGTTCACTATGACAGGCTCACTTTTCACTAAAACTGCATGTTCACTATAACAACTTCACTATATCAGCAGTTTCACTACAGCTACATGTTTACTATAAATCTTCACTATAAAAGGTCAACTCTATCAACAGGTTCATTATAGTGGTCACCATAACATGTTCATTATATCATCATGTTCACTGTAACAGGCTCTCTTTTCACTATAACTGCATGTTCACTGTAATATCTTCACTATGACAGGTTCATTATAGCTTCATGATCACAATAATATGTTCACTATAACATGTTCATTATATCAACATGTTCACTATAACAGGCTCACTTTTCACTATAACTGCATGTTCACTATAATATCTTCACTATGACAGGTTCACTCTAGCTGGCTACATGTTCCTTATAAGAGTTTCACTATAACAACCTCTTACTACATTATTTCTTACACCTCAAACTCTGAGTCTTGTGGTCTGGTCCTCCGCTGTTACTAGTATTAAAAAATTATGAGTTTGAAGACCAAACAAGAGAAAAGTCGTCCTCTACCACCATCGCTCTCCCGCATGAGGGCCCAGTGGGTCGAAGAGACGGCACTGGAGACTGTCCAGGCTCCAAACTGCCTGTTAGGCATTGTCGTTGGCCCTGGGGGGTCCACCGTGAAAAAAATAATCGACCAATACAAGGTGCAGGTGCGTGTTCCTCGGAAGGGGTCAAAGGATGAGCCCATCCTGGTTGAAGGCAAAAACAAAACTCTCGTTAAGGAAGCCGCCCTCCACATAAAGGCGATGATTGACGAGGAGAAGGAGCGGCGTCGGGTCACCACACCAGTAAGCCGAACGCTCTTCATCCCCAAGGCCCTACACGGGAAGATCATCGGTCATCGTGGTCAAAACATTCGACCCATTATTCAATCACTGAAAATAAATATCGTATTTCCCAATAAAAATAACAACAATGATGAAGTTATCATCACTGGTCTGCCTAATCAGGTGGACCAGGGCATAAGTCACCCCTCCCAAGCCTGGCAGGACCAGCTTCCCCCATGTATGGCCCGAGTATCACAAGGCCAGACCCAGACTTCTGCCACCGACAACAACCCTAAAAAAAATAAAAAACTGGACCCTCTCACCACTGGCCTCCACGCGGCAGGGTCTGGAAACTCGGGGATTTATCTCTGGGGCTAACAGTGGTTTATCATTATTATTATTATTATTATTATTATGGTTATTATTATTATTATTATTATTATTATTATTATTACTATTATTATTATTATTATTATGAGAGAGAGAGAGAGAGAGAGAGAGAGAGGAGAGAGAGAGAGAGAGAGGAGAGAGAGAGAGAGAGAGAGAGAGAGAGAAGGAAAAAATATAGAAAGAGAAATGAAAATGAAAGGTGAAGATCAGTGACCCCCCCCCAAAAAAAAAAAAATCTCCACTTGATCAGGAGTATGGTAGTAGCCGATTATTTTTATGTTCAGGTTAATATTCTTTTTTTATAATATACAATATAAAAGATAAAGGATTCTGAGAGCATGGGTGATACACAGTGTTAAAGGGTCTTGGCGGTGTATAAATCTACGGTCATCACCACCCGTATTTCACTTCCCTCGCGTTACTCTCCTTATTGAAATGATCCCTCACTTTCTTCTTTACGATGACTTAACCTTTGAGTACGATAATTTAATCTTTAATCACGATGACTTAACGTTTGAGTACGATGACTTAACCTTTGGGTACGATGACTTAACCTATGAGTACGATGACTTAACCTATGAGTACGATAATTTAATACATGAGTACGATGACTTAACTTTTGAGGACGATGATTTAATCTTAAAACACGATGACTTAACGTTTGAGTACGCTGACTTAACCTATGACTACGATGACTTAGCCTTTGAGTACAATGACCTAACACCTAAAGTACAGTGTCCAGTGTCACCATACTTGGGGTATCGTAGTGAAAGGGTTGAGATATTGGACTCAATTAATAAAATGGTGGTATTCAAGAAACTAAGTAATTTGTTCTCAAGGAATTAAACTTTTACAGTCACCAAAATGTAAACATGATAAGGTTGGATATCTTTGGGAGACATATGGCTGTCCAAAACGAGTCTGATGGACGTTCTTCCTTTCAGATACTGTATAACATAATGTAAGAACAAACTCCAACGTTCATCGGTGTACACAAGCTGGAACTCAAATTCTTGCCAAAGGTGTATGCTGTACTGATGGTCTGTGTTAATATTTATGGTTATGGTAATACTCGTGATACTTATAAACCACACCAGTCACGCCCTTGTAGGTGACTCCACAAGACATACAAGTTCACACTTGTAATCATATAAAATATATTGATACCTAACCTAACCTACCTGATAGAAGTAGACACTGATGTTGTTTTCTGTTTTGTGAAATGTTTGGCTTCCAAATATATTTCATAAAACGAAAACAACATCGAGTGTCAACCTGACAACCGCTCAACCAATAATAATTTTAAAAACTTTAAATACACAAATTAATAAGAATTACCTACAGAACAGACCGACTCTACATAGACGTGGGAATATGCTACAAGCTCCACTTTTCCCTATAACTGCATGTTCACTATAATATCTTCACTATGACAGGTTCATTCTAGCTTCATGATCACAATAATATGTTCGCTATAACAGGTTCATTATATCAACATGTTCACTATAACAGGCTCACTTTTCACAATAACTGCATGTTCACTATAACAACTTCACTATATCAGCAGTTTCACTACAGATACATGTTTACTATAAATCTTTACTATAAAAGGTGAACTCTATCAACGGGTTCATTATAGTGATCACCATAACACGTTCATTATATCAACATGTTCACTATAACAGGCTCACTTTTCACTATAACTGCATGTTCACTATAATATCTTCACTATAGCAGGTTCATTATAGCTTCATGATCACAATAATATGTTCACTATAACAGGTTCATTATATCAACATGTTCACTATAATAAGCTCACATTTTACTAAACTGCATGTTCACTATAATATTTTCACTATAGCAGGTTCATTATAGCTTCATGATCACAATAATATGTTCACTATAACAGGTTCATTATATAAACATGTTCATTATAACAGGCTCACTTTTCACTATAACTGCATGTTCACTATAATATCTTCACTATAGCAGGTTCATTATAGCTTCATGATAACAGAAATATGTTCGCTATAACATGTTCATTATAACATGTTCACTATGACAGGCTCACTTTTCACTAAAACTGCATGTTCACTATAACAACTTCACTATATCAGCAGTTTCACTACAGCTACATGTTTACTATAAATCTTCACTATAAAAGGTCAACTCTATCAACAGGTTCATTATAGTGGTCACCATAACATGTTCATTATATCATCATGTTCACTGTAACAGGCTCTCTTTTCACTATAACTGCATGTTCACTGTAATATCTTCACTATGACAGGTTCATTATAGCTTCATGATCACAATAATATGTTCACTATAACATGTTCATTATATCAACATGTTCACTATAACAGGCTCACTTTTCACTATAACTGCATGTTCACTATAATATCTTCACTATGACAGGTTCACTCTAGCTGGCTACATGTTCCTTATAAGAGTTTCACTATAACAACCTCTTACTACATTATTTCTTACACCTCAAACTCTGAGTCTTGTGGTCTGGTCCTCCGCTGTTACTAGTATTAAAAAATTATGAGTTTGAAGACCAAACAAGAGAAAAGTCGTCCTCTACCACCATCGCTCTCCCGCATGAGGGCCCAGTGGGTCGAAGAGACGGCACTGGAGACTGTCCAGGCTCCAAACTGCCTGTTAGGCATTGTCGTTGGCCCTGGGGGGTCCACCGTGAAAAAAATAATCGACCAATACAAGGTGCAGGTGCGTGTTCCTCGGAAGGGGTCAAAGGATGAGCCCATCCTGGTTGAAGGCAAAAACAAAACTCTCGTTAAGGAAGCCGCCCTCCACATAAAGGCGATGATTGACGAGGAGAAGGAGCGGCGTCGGGTCACCACACCAGTAAGCCGAACGCTCTTCATCCCCAAGGCCCTACACGGGAAGATCATCGGTCATCGTGGTCAAAACATTCGACCCATTATTCAATCACTGAAAATAAATATCGTATTTCCCAATAAAAATAACAACAATGATGAAGTTATCATCACTGGTCTGCCTAATATGAAATTGGACCAGGGCATAGGTCACCTCTTAAGCCTGGTGACCAGCTTCCCCATGTATGGCCTGAGGACATAAGGCCAGACCAGTCTTTATACCGACAACAGCCTAAAAAAAAAAAAAAAAAAAAAAAAAAAAAAAAAAAAAAAGGACCCTCTCACCACTGGCCTCCACGCGGCAGGGTCTGGAAACTCAGGGATTTATCTCTGGGGCTAACAGTGGCTTATTATTATTATTATTACTATTATTATTATTATTATTATTATTATTATTATTATAATTATTATTATTATTATTGTTATTATTATTATTATTATTATTATTATTATTATTATTATTATTATTATTATTATTATTATTATTATATTATTATTATGAGAGAGATGCCAAAAAATGTGGAGAAATAAGGGAGAAAAGGGAAAAGGAGAAAGAAAGGATAAAAAATATAGAAAACAGAAAAAAGAAGAATAGAGAGAGATAAGGGAAAAAATATAGAAAAGAAATGAAAGACAGATCAGTGACCCCCCAAAACCTTTTCTCCCATGATCAGGGTATGGTAGTAGCCGATTATTTTGTGTTGGGTTAATATTCTTTTTATTCTGTACTCAAGGTAAAGGCTTCGGCAGCATGGGTGATACACAGTGTTAAAGGAGTCTTGGCGGTGTATCTCGTCTACGATTATACCACCCGTATTTCACTTACCTCGCGTTACTCTCCTTATTGAACTGATCCCTCACCTTTACTTCTTTACGATGACAACCCAACCTTTGAGTACGATGACAACCGCTGAATACGATGACGGCCTTTGAGTACGATGGCTTAACCTTTGGGTACGATGAGCAACCTATAGGTACGGTGATGACAACCTATGAGTACGATAATTTAATACATGAGTACGATGACTTAACTTTTGAGGACGATGATTTAATCTTAAAACACGATGACTTAACGTTTGAGTACGCTGACTTAACCTATGACTACGATGACTTAGCCTTTGAGTACAATGACCTAACACCTAAAGTACAGTGTCCAGTGTCACCATACTTGGGGTATCGTAGTGAAAGGGTTGAGATATTGGACTCAATTAATAAAATGGTGGTGTTCAAGAAACTAAGTAATTTGTTCTCAAGGAATTAAACTTTTACAGTCACCAAAATGTAAACATGATAAGGTTGGATATCTTTGGGAGACATATGGCTGTCCAAAACGAGTCTGATGGACGTTCTTCCTTTCAGATACTGTATAACATAATGTAAGAACAAACTCCAACGTTCATCGGTGTACACAAAGCTGGAACTCAAGTGTACCAGGAGTGTGTACTGTACTGGTGGTCTGTGTTAATGTTATGGTGGTTATGGTAATACTCGTGATAACATAAACACACCAGTCACGCCCTTGTAGGTGACTCAAGACATACAAGTTCACATATGTAATCATATAAAATATATTGATACCTAACCTAACCTACCTGATAGAAGTAGACACTAATGTTGTTTTCTGTTTTGTGAAATGTTTGGCCAAATATATTTCATAAAACGAAAACAACACCAGTGTCAACCTCTGACAGCCGCTCATCCAATAATAATTTTAAAAACTTTAAATACACAAATTAATAAAGAATTACTACAGAACAGACCGACTCTACAGAGACGTGGGAATATGCTACAGGCTTACTTTTCACTATAACTGCATGTTCACTATAATATCTTCACTATAACAGGTTCATTATAGCTTCATGATCACAATAATATGTTCGCTATAACAGGTTCATTTTTTCAACATGTTCGCTATAACAGGCTTACTTTTCCCTATAACTGCATGTTCACTATAATATCTTCACTATGACAGGTTCATTCTAGCTTCATGATCACAATAATATGTTCGCTATAACAGGTTCATTATATCAACATGTTCACTATAACAGGCTCACTTTCCACAATAACTGCATGTTCACTATAAAAACTTCACTATATCAGCAGTTTCACTACAGATACATGTTTACTATAAATCTTTACTATAAAAGGTTAACTCTATCAACGGGTTCATTATAGTGATCACCATAACACGTTCATTATATCAACATGTTCACTATAACAGGCTCACTTTTCACTATAACTGCATGTTCACTATAATATCTTCACTATAGCAGGTTCATTATAGCTTCATGATCACAATAATATGTTCACTATAACAGGTTCATTATATCAACATGTTCAATATAATAGGCTCACATTTTACTATAACTGCATGTTCACTATAATATTTTCACTATAGCAGGTTCATTATAGCTTCATGATCACAATAATATGTTCACTATAACAGGTTCATTATATAAACATGTTCATTATAACAGGCTCACTTTTCACTATAACTGCATGTTCACTATAATATCTTCACTATAGCAGGTTCATTATAGCTTCATGATAACAGAAATATGTTCGCTATAACATGTTCATTATAACATGTTCACTATGACAGGCTCACTTTTCACTAAAACTGCATGTTCACTATAACAACTTCACTATATCAGCAGTTTCACTACAGCTACATGTTTACTATAAATCTTCACTATAAAAGGTCAACTCTATCAACAGGTTCATTATAGTGGTCACCATAACATGTTCATTATATCATCATGTTCACTGTAACAGGCTCTCTTTTCACTATAACTGCATGTTCACTGTAATATCTTCACTATGACAGGTTCATTATAGCTTCATGATCACAATAATATGTTCACTATAACATGTTCATTATATCAACATGTTCACTATAACAGGCTCACTTTTCACTATAACTGCATGTTCACTATAATATCTTCACTATGACAGGTTCACTCTAGCTGGCTACATGTTCCTTATAAGAGTTTCACTATAACAACCTCTTACTACATTATTTCTTACACCTCAAACTCTGAGTCTTGTGGTCTGGTCCTCCGCTGTTACTAGTATTAAAAAATTATGAGTTTGAAGACCAAACAAGAGAAAAGTCGTCCTCTACCACCATCGCTCTCCCGCATGAGGGCCCAGTGGGTCGAAGAGACGGCACTGGAGACTGTCCAGGCTCCAAACTGCCTGTTAGGCATTGTCGTTGGCCCTGGGGGGTCCACCGTGAAAAAAATAATCGACCAATACAAGGTGCAGGTGCGTGTTCCTCGGAAGGGGTCAAAGGATGAGCCCATCCTGGTTGAAGGCAAAAACAAAACTCTCGTTAAGGAAGCCGCCCTCCACATAAAGGCGATGATTGACGAGGAGAAGGAGCGGCGTCGGGTCACCACACCAGTAAGCCGAACGCTCTTCATCCCCAAGGCCCTACACGGGAAGATCATCGGTCATCGTGGTCAAAACATTCGACCCATTATTCAATCACTGAAAATAAATATCGTATTTCCCAATAAAAATAACAACAATGATGAAGTTATCATCACTGGTCTGCCTAATCAGGTGGACCCAGGGTATAAGTCACCTCTTAAGCCTGTTGACCAGCTTCCCCCATGTATGGCCTGAGGACATAAAGGCTAGACCAGACTTCTTACCGACAACAACCCTAAAAAAAAAAAAAAAAAAAAAAAAAAAAAAAAAAAAAAAAAAAGGACCACTCTCACCACTGGCCCTTACGCATGGTCACAAACTCAGGGATTTATCTCTGGGGCTAACAGTCTTTATATATTATTATTATTATTATTATTATTATTATTATTATTATTATTATTATTATTATTATTATTATTATTATATTATTATTATGAGAAGGAAGAAATGCCAAAAAAATATGGAGAAATAAGGAGAAAAGGGGGAAAAGGGAGAAGAAAGGATAAAAAATATAGAAACAGAAAAAAAGAAGAATAGAGAGAGAGAAGGAAAAAATATAGAAAGAGAAATGAAAATGAAAGGTGAAGATCAGTGACCCCCCCCCAAAAAAAAAAAAATCTCCACTTGATCAGGAGTATGGTAGTAGCCGATTATTTTTATGTTCAGGTTAATATTCTTTTTTTTATAATATACAATATAAAAGATAAAGGCTTCTGAGAGCATGGGTGATACACAGTGTTAAAGGGTCTTGGCGGTGTATAAATCTACGGTCATCACCACCCGTATTTCACTTCCCTCGCGTTACTCTCCTTATTGAACTGATCCCTCACTTTCTTCTTTACGATGACTTAACCTTTGAGTACGATGACTTAATTTTTTAGTACGATGACTTAACGTTTGAGTACGATGATTTAATCTTTAATCACGATGACGTAACGTTTGAGTACGATGACAACCTTTGAGAACGATGACTTAACGCTTTAAAGTGCGATGACAACGTGTGACTCGATGACAACCTGGGTACGATGACAATACGCTGGGTACGATGAGCAACCTATGAGTACGATAACCCAATACGCCAAGGAACGATGACTTAACCTTTGAGTACGATAATTTAATCTTTAATCACGATGACTTAACGTTTGAGTACGATGACTTAACCTTTGGGTACGATGACTTAACCTATGAGTACGATGACTTAACATATGAGTACGATAATTTAATACATGAGTACGATGACTTAACTTTTGAGGACGATGATTTAATCTTAAAACACGATGACTTAACGTTTGAGTACGCTGACTTAACCTATGACTACGATGACTTAGCCTTTGAGTACAATGACCTAACACCTAAAGTACAGTGTCCAGTGTCACCATACTTGGGGTATCGTAGTGAAAGGGTTGAGATATTGGACTCAATTAATAAAATGGTGGTGTTCAAGAAACTAAGTAATTTGTTCTCAAGGAATTAAACTTTTACAGTCACCAAAATGTAAACATGATAAGGTTGGATATCTTTGGGAGACATATGGCTGTCCAAAACGAGTCTGATGGACGTTCTTCCTTTCAGATACTGTATAACATAATGTAAGAACAAACTCCAACGTTCATCGGTGTACACAAAGCTGGAACTCAAGTGTACCAGGAGTGTGTACTGTACTGGTGGTCTGTGTTAATGTTATGGTGGTTATGGTAATACTCGTGATAACATAAACACACCAGTCACGCCCTTGTAGGTGACTCAAGACATACAAGTTGACATATG